GCATTCAGGGGTGTGTGCATATCTGGGGGGCATTTTCTGTGCGCATTTGGGGATCTTTCCGTGTACAGATGCGCTTTGGAGTATCTATGTTCAAATAAAGCGTGCTGAATCACTGCGCCCATACCGTTGAAGAAGCTCTTTGCTTTCAGGTAGCCGACACTCAGGCGGAGCACGGAGAGTTTGTCCAGGCGAGCACGAACATCCTCACTGAAGGGTAGCAGGCTGGTCAGCTTGTCCAGTTCACAGTTCAACCGATCCCGGTGCCTTTTGGACGGATTAGATTTGACGCCATCGGCAGGTGGTGGTTTGGGGCTAATGACATGTTTTGTGATTTTGTTTTTAAAAGAGAGAGAGAGAGAAAGGCAGGAATGAGACAGGCTGGGGTCAGAACCACACGGTTATGATTATTTACAAAAGGAACCATCGGTTTACCGCCCGCCAAGTCTGCCGACTCTTACCTTTTTTGCACGGGTTTCTTCCTCTTTTTCACGGCGTAGATGCCACCAGCGCTCAGCATTTTGTCGGAAAGTGTACAATCCACAAGGTGAGAAGGAGATCCAGCTCTCGGTGGGGCTCCGGCACCCTCCCGCAGCCCTGGCTGCAGACTCTCTCTCTCTCTCTCCACTTCCCACCCCAACACTCCGCTCAGCAAGATCACCCGATCCACTGGGTCACAGTCCTGAAGAAATCCCGTGCGCTGTCAGTAATGGCGAGATCCCAGCTCCCGGGAGTTGCTCCTTCCCCTCTCTCTCTCTGTAAAACTGATAACTCCAGTAAAACAACGGCAGCGAATATCCCCCACGACTCTTGCTTCCAGAGTTAGCCAGATTCTCCTTCCTTTCCTCTGTCTCTGTCTCACTGCTACTAGGAACTTCTCCCTCTTTCTCCGTTGTTGTGCCTTCTCCTTCTCCCTTCGCTGTCCCTGGGCTGGGCTTAAACCCAATAGGCTTGACATCATAGGTTCCGGACTCCCGGAAAAGGAGCTGAATCGGAGGAGGAGACTGTTTAAGGTGGCTTTGGCAACAGGACGGGGTTGGAGCGACTCCCGTCCCAGGATAGAATTTGATTCCTCTCAGGGAAAGTGTCTGAAACCACCAGCCCCTAGAATGGAAACCGATGCATCAAATCAGCCGGAGTCTTGAGGGGTTTGTTTCTTTTTTGCATTTAGAAGGTGTCATAATTGGGATTGAGTGCGTTCTGCTATGGTGCAGCCAAACCAACAAAACCAATTCACTCACCTCTGCAACATCCCAGAAAGAAATGAACTTGCATTTCTAATGCACAGCATCGCCCAGACTTTGTGGGCTGCATCCGTCAGAGCTGAGGATGAGGGGAGGGCAAACGGCTTAGTGATATCATCAGTAGTTTATGAACCCAGAGGACCCCATTAAAGAGATAGTAGGAACTGCAGATGCTGGAGAATCTGAGATAACAAGCTGTACAGCTGGATGAACACAGCAGGTCAAGCAGCATCAGAGGAGCAGGAAGGCTGACGTTTCGGGCCTAGACCTTTCTTCAGAAATGATTTCTGAATGATTTACAGGATATCCTGTATCTGAATTACAAATATGACCATGCCATCCACTGGAATTCACTCTGTTAAGTTTCGTGTTCAATTGTTGTAGTGGTGACTTGCATGCGACATATGTTATTACACTGCACTGATCTCACTGTCATGGCCAGGGGCATTTGAGTCCAGTGTCAACAATAGGTCAAGGTGTTTGGAGATGTTCAGGAGTGCAGAGCTAATAATACCTGAAAGTATTACTAGGTCTCCACATACTTTTCTCTGACACCATTGAATTCCCAATGAACTCTTCCACCCACTCTACTGATTAAGATCTCGTGTTCAGGGACAGGCGAATCTTAATTAGATGGGGACTATCACATCAGCTATCCTTCTTAAAATGTAGACAAAGAGAGGGGTAACAGTGAACTTTGGGTCTTGAGAAGATGAGGCTGAAGAAATAATAATGGGGAGCCAGGAAATGGTAGAGAAATTGAACAAACACTTTGCAACAGTCTTCATGGTAGAGAACACTGATATCATTCTAAACATACTAAAATATGAAGGGGCTAAAGGGAAGGAGAAATAAATGCAATAACTATCACTAGAGGAAAAGTACAAGGGAAACTAATGGGACCGAAGGCTGATGGGTTGGATCCTAAGATTTTTAAAGACATAGCTACAGAAATAGTAGGTGCACCGGTAGTAATTTTCCAAGGATCCATGAATTCTGGAAAAGTCCCTGAGGATTAGCAAACTGCCAACGTAACACCTTCATTCAAAAAGGGAAGGAGATAAAATATCAGGTAATAATAGGCCAGTTACTTTAAGCTCTAATTTTGGGAAAATATTAGACTTGATTGTCTATTATAAAGAATGTAATAACCGAGCATTTAGAAAGACAAGGTCTAAACCAAGTGAGCGCCTAAGACCATAAAACATAGACTCAAAGGTAGGCTATTCAGCCCATTAAATCTGCTCTATCATTCAATTATATCATGGCTGATTTGATCATTCTCAACTTCAAGCAGAGTCAGCATGGCTTCCTGAAGGGGAAATGATGCCTGACAAATTTAATACAGTTCTTTGAGGAGGTACCAAGCAGGATAGATAAAGGGAAATCGGTAGATGTAATATATTTAGATTTCCAAACAGCATTCAATAAGGTATTGCACAACGATTACATAAAAAGAAATGAGTACATAGTGTTGGACGTACTATCTCAGCATGGGTAGAAGATTGGCTAATTAATAGAAAACTGAAAGTTGCAAAAATGAGGGCATTTTCAGGATGGTGAACTATAACTAATTTTTAGTGGATTAGTGCTGTGGTCACAATTACTTACAATATATGCCAATGACTTGGCTGACAGACACGAATGTACTCTTGCTAAGTTTTCAGATTGTACAAAAAGAGTTGGGAAGGCAAGTAGTGAGAATGGCACAAGAAAGTCCGCAGAGTGATATAGGTTAAGTGAGTGAGCAAAAACTTAGTATATAAAACATAATGTGGGAAAATGTGAGGTTATGTGTGTTGGCAGGAAGATTAGAGGAGCTGAATATTACTTAAATGGGAAAAGATTGCAGAAGTTGAGCAGGCAATAGGGAAATCAAATGGGCATGTAAGCCTTTATTTCAAATGTACAAGTAGGGAGGTGTAGCTAAAATTATGCAGGATCACAGGCCACTGCCACAGGGCAGACCACAGCTGGAATACTGTGAACTGTAGTGATCTTCTTTAACAAGGAAAGAAATACTGGCATTGGAGGCAGACCAGAGAAGGTTCACTGGGTTGATACTGGGTATGCGAGGATTTTCTTTTGAGAATTGGTTGAATAGGTTGGGCTTGAACACTCATTGGAGTTTAGGGGAATGAGAGGAGACCTTATTGAAACATGGAAGATTCTTTGCGGACGTGACAGGGCCCCGTCAAGCAGGAGGAGTAGTTTCCCCTTGTGGGAGAGTCTGGAACCAGAGGGCACAGATTCAGAGTAAGGAGCCATCTATTTAAGAGAGGCGAGAAGGAATCTTTACTCTCAGGGTGGTGAATCTGTGGAATTCTTTACTGCAGAGGCTGAAAGCAGTTATTTCGATTGAGGGGAATCCATCCTTGTCTAGGTGAGTGAATTTTATACTGTTGAGGCTGGATCATTAACTATATTCACGGCTGAGATAGACAGACGTCTAATCACAGAATCAAGAGTTATGGGGTTGAAGCAGGAAAGTGGAGTTGAGAATGATCAGGTCAGCCATGATCTCATTGAATGGTGGAGCGGACTCATTGGGTTGAGTGGCCTACTTCTGCTCCTATGTTTTATGATCTTACGGCCTCACTTGGTTTAGCCCATGTCGAAGCAGGTGTCACAGACGTGTCACATGCAAGCAACTCTTTGGAGACTCCAGTGAGGGTCTGGATTTCGGTGAAAATTAAAGAAAGGTGAATCATTGCCAAAGAGCATGGCGAGTGTCCTCCTCTTCTCCTCTTCCACGTCATGAATAATGGCACATTCAGCAAATCTTGTTAACAGCATAAAATTCACTCACCTAGAGAAGGATGGATCCCCTCAGTTGAAATAACTGCTTTCAGACTGCTGGCTGATCTATATTATCCCCAGTCTTTCTCTTACCCTTCTGAAGCTAATGACCTGCTCTCCAGAGCTGACTGTGCTCTGGACCTTTGGCAATGAGGGCTCACTGTCAGCCGGGCCAATGATAAGTGTGGGGCAAGATGTTTCAAGGCACCATTTGACTTGTCCATATTCAAGATAGCTCAGTAATCTGTTTCTCACATTTTCCACGCAGCTGTGATTTGGTAAGTTCAGACTTTAAAATGGGGCTTGTGGAGATGAAAGAGAAATCATATTAAAATTCGACACGTTTATTCTCAAATTCTACAATTCCCCATTCTAAGAGTGGAGCACTGTGTTTTCATTTGTTTGAGCTTGTGAGATCTCCCTTGTCCCATTTTCAAGTTGAAATTACTTAAATTCATACATTTCTAAAGCAGTATAGTCATAATTTGTGGGAATATATCATTAAGCTTCTGTTTCCTTTATGCCCCTCATATCCTGCGACACTACTCACCGTGAGCCAAAGAATAGGCCTGAGATAGTAGGAACTGCAGATGCTGGAGAATCTGAGATAACAAGGTGTAGAGCTGGATGAACACAGCAGGCCAAGCAGCATCATAGGAGCAGGAAGGCTGTTCATCCAGCTCTACACCTTGTTATCAAAGAATAGGCCTGATTGGTTTCCAGACAAAATTCCACATACGACCTGGATGCCAACGTGACGTAAGAGATTAACTCCTTCTGGGGGAAAGGGGCAGATTGACTGTCACAGTAAATCCAATCAGTAACCACATTGTACCATCACACTGCTTCCCTTTTAAAAAGCAGAACCTGTTTTCTGGCTTAGTAGTTTAAAAAAAAGTACTTTGTTTTAAAAAGTGAACTTTTGCTGGGCTAAAATATGGTTGCTGCCAATCACATGATATCAGTTGACTACAATTTCGAGAAAAGTGTCAGTCAGCCAAAGGGTCGTGAGTCTTTGGAACTCCTGAAAAGATGGTGGAGGCAGAGTCCCTGAATATTTTTAAGGCAGAGATAAATAGATTCTTGTTAAGAAAGGGGCTGTTGGGAATGCAGGTTTGAGGTTACAATCAGAATGGCCACGATCTTGTTGAATGACACATGAGGGGCACTACAGCCTACTCCTGCTTTTAATTCATTTGTTCATATTTACCAGAACAGACCTCAGGCAGTATTCTGCTGGAATCTCACACAGTTGTATTGTGTGGGTATTACAATCAATAAACACAAAAGAACAGTAGATGGTACGACTCCAGAACAGGATCTAATGAACAAGGAGAACTATCAAAATTCATCATGCTTGAAAAGGCACTAATGGCCCACTATCTAGCTAATATAGTGAATAATGGTTTTGACCAGGGGCATGGAAACTGCCTTATTAACTATAGTGACTCATCCAACAACCCTGTCACATGACCAAAACTCCTCTGGTCTTTAAAAGTTTTAATTATACACTTTGATGCTTTCCCTTAATTTGGTAACAATCAGTCTACTTTTAACATCGAGTCAGTCTGCGAAGAATATAACTGCTGAAAAACAGAGCAAGTCTCCGAGCTTGGCTAAGCCTGCCCCAACTCCAAGCAAAGTTCCTTGAAACCTTGTTTCGAAATTGTTCCTTGTATTCTTCTAGAAAGGGGACCAAATCTCTCTATGTGCCAACCTCAAATTTAAAGGAACAGAAACAGAAGTTGGTGGAAAAGCTCAGCAGGTCTGGCAGCACCTATGAAGAAAAAAATCAGAGTTAATGTTTCGGGTCCGGTGACCC